AAAAAAAAAAAAAAGAAAAAAAAATAAAGGATCGTACAATACACGATTGCGTCTGTCGAATAGGTGTGTTGTTTTTATGACAGTTAGAATGTGGATGGCTTTACGAACAGAGCTAAGGAAACGAATGAAATTGAATTGATTTTATCATCAAATAGTATAATGGTTATTTTTGTTTATCATACTTGATGTATCGTTACAGTACAATCGCTCGCAGAAATATTTGAACGTTTATAAAAACTTTTCAAATTCTTGAAACCGAGGAGAACTGGAAACACGATCTTTGTGATCATAGAAGTCAATCAGTCAATTGTTAATAAATTTCAATATTCAGTGGGAACACTTATTAGGTACTTGAGATGACCATTAATGCTGTATACTATAACAATTTTTTACTAAATACATGTGTGGTTACAATAAACTCTTGCATACATGTTCAAATTGATTTCAAACAATTATAATCATAACAACTTATTACAATATTAATGAAACATCAAAATGTTTTATAACACACGTTACATTACACATTGTACATTGATTCTTACCTAAACATGTTGCGTTCAATATCTTTTAACTTCTGCGTGTATCTCAAATTCAGATTTGCTGTCAAATTCGATCAACAATGTGTCAATGAAATTTCAAAACACACACAAAGTTCTATAGCAGGTGTGCAAATACTTTCACCAGCCACCCTATGCAATATGAAACCAGCAGACGTGAACGAAACATCGACCTTACTTGCTGCAATTGGACGAAAATCTTAGTCTCAATGCAGACTTGAAGTCCAAAGGGCCTTGATGCAAGAAGAACTCGAAAGATTAAATGAGACACCGAACCAGCGAAAAACAGAAGCGTGAACGGTACCAGCGATTGTCATTCGACGCGTAGACGTATTAGGGAAATGAATCACTTGACTCTGTTGTGCCTTATCAACATCGGTTCCGTGCGAGGAATACCAGCCGACTCTCCTTTTTACAGTTCGTTTGATTATCTTCCGATCGTGAATCTATTACGTTGGAATACAATGCCAGCGTAGCTAGACACACCGCGTTAACGGACACGATGTCGGAATACGTTGTCTTGGACGATGTTCATAGAAAAATTCGCGCGAGCCAGCCATTTCAACGAAGCCTGTATCGCGCCGGTTTTCCAGACCGCGGCGTCCCTTCACATTTTATCACGTAACTAAGGCCGATCCATAGAGACGATCCCTGTCTGCTCGTGGAGACGTGAAACGTCACTAACAACGCTATAATTGTTCTTCCACAGAATTATATTAAATATCGTATATAT